GGTCTAGCGGTTAATTTTGACCTTGTGTTAGTAGGGCATGGGGCTACGGCGTTTGCAGTCCAGGGTATAACAGAGGGTGTGTTTGCTTACTCTCATTTTCTCAATTAGTTTATAGTCCTCTCTACCCAATAGTACTAGTAGTAAATCAACTCATAAAGCTGGTCGTTTAATTATTTCTGCCTGTATGCATTGGTCTACGTGCTCAGCGATTTTCTTCTCTAGTCATACCTGGTCATAATGTCAATGTACTCTTAAGTTAATCGAGTTGTCTGTTGTGTGACTCCTCTTCCGCCTCCTCCACTTCTTCTTCTCCTTCTCCTTCTCCTTCTTCTTCTTTTTCTTCTTCTTACATTTCTTTAGTTGAGCATTAATTCTCGGACTATCCAGAAATTTGCACTCTGTCTTTTCCCATTGTTCATGCCTGTGTTGTTTTGAAAGCAAGGTTTCCATTTCATTCCAGTCATTTGTTAGGTCTTCCACTTCCTCTATTGACCTCTATATTTGCTTCCAAATTCCAGAATATTTCAAAGTGAATCATGGCGTTTAATAGGCCCGAAATAGTTCAATTTCAGTTTCAACATGCTTTGAACGCGTCGTTGGTGTTTCTGTGCCAATAATATTCTTCTTAGTTCTTCATTTATTTTGGTTTTCACCATAATCTAAAAGTTCTTCTATAACGTTTGATTCCATTTTGAAAGCTGGAATCCTTTTTGTGCCTTTTTCACTGATGATCCATCATGCTTCACATCCATTAATAATATATTCTATACTTTTAATAATCACTATTATTTTTGTTATGTTTAGTAAGCTCACAAGCATATGCTGTCATCTGTGGCATAATTACTTCTCCTCTCACCAATGGACGTGGAAGACATGAGTATGATTTCCATGCAGGACAGTAATTTTATCAAGGATCTCCATCTGCCCACAGGAATGTTGTACGATACCCTATCCAGCCAAGTGTAATCTCACCTCCAGAATTATCTAAATTGTATTGATAGGGACATAAAACATTTACAATCAATAGGCCTAAAATATGTGAATTTAAATTAATTGAAAAACAAACATGTAGTTTTGTCAAGGAATTTTAGTAACTTTTATTTGATCTGTAAAAGTAGTTTGAGAGAGGGCACTGCTCCTTATTGTAATTTGCATAATGAAAACAATAAAAGAGCCTTAAAAAACAACCCGGAGCATCTGAAAGAAAAGGTGTATTATATCAGGGTATGAATAAGACACAGCAACAGGAAGTAACAGTAAGCTAAAAATTCATAAAGTTCTATTTATATTTTCTCATACAAGAAATGCAATATATATAACCAGAGTGGTATTTGTACATTAACAGATCTCGCTCTTCCATAGTATTCAAAGAAGAGGTACAATGAAAAAATACATATCATGTTGTGGAGTATAATGTCATCATCAAAATAAACTAACTGAAATCAAACACAAACGCACAAGTAAAATGTAGCAATGAGCATCAGTTGTAGGAAAAGAGAACAGGACAACTCAAAGAACTTCTTACCCTTTATCTTCTCCCTTTCTAACTTCTTTATTTCACGTTTATTTCACACACAGACTTATGAGACATATACACACACTTTGCATACTCTTTCTTTCCATATTACGCTTATACCTTACACTTGCACTTTTCAAAGGTAAATAGCATTCCCACTGAGTTCTTAATTGTTTTGCGGATAAAAAATAATACCCAATACAAATGAGACAGGGGACACTTATCCACCGAAACGAAACAAAACAACTGCGGCTGGAATGTTTTTCCTTTGCAAGATTCTCAAACGGAATGTCGTTAAAAATATGATAAATATTTTGATGAAATTAATAGAATATACAATTCACGTAACATATCTCAACAGATATAAATATGTAAAACGTGAAAGGAAATCACAACCAAGAATGAGGAATTAGACAAGGGGTGGAATATGGTATATGTGCTGAGAAAGAGCTGTGAGAGAGATCACAGAAGTAATTGATTCAGAAAGGCAAGCCAAATGCTGAATTGGAAACAACTTTGGGGATATCAAAATTGAGAACTGCATCTCTATACATGTGGAGGTTATTTTTAGAATAATTATTCATTTAGAATGATTTCAGGAGGCATAATTTGGTGATCTTTTCCCAATGTCAGACATCTAGGTCCCAGGAGAAATCTGAAAAGTCCCAAGGTCCAAAATGTCAGAGTTAATCTCTTTTTATTGAAAATAGTTTTAGTGTGATTTAAAATTATTTGGTCCGTGTATTGTACCCCTAGACAGAAACATTTGGTAGCAATCAGGATATAGCAAAGAAGTAGCACTCAGGATCTTTTTGTCAGTTGCGGCATCAATTTACTTGATCAAAACTTTGATGTGACCAAGGCTGGTGGAAATAGACAGAAAACAAATTCCAAGAGAAATTGAGATATGTATAGTCTGAAGTCTGATCAAATCCAAGGAGCTGTTCCAAAAATAGTAATTGTTTAATAAAGCACATAGGCAATTTCAGTGCAGTGAGGGAACTTATATGCACTATGCTAGAATCTTATTTGTTCATGGTAATTGAGTGGTGTTATTTCCTTTATCCCCCCTCCCCATTTACTTTCCACAGTTTTCCGAAAGCATGCAGGGAAAGTTTGTACACATGAAATCAAATGTTTTGATTAGAAAATCTATGTGATAATTCGTGATGGCTTCTGATTATGTACAGTATAGACCAATAGGAATTGATTCTGAAACTGTCTAAAAAATTGATGTGCCAACAATCACAATGGTGAAATAAACATTTGGTTGAAGATCTGTAACATAAATTAGATTACAAATCTCCATCAAGCTGTATACCGATAGTTCACTTAATTTGAATCCCCCAAAGCTTGTCTATCACAAGAACTAAAACCTTTCACATAGAAGTAATAATCATGTATATATAAAAATATAATTAAATTGAAATAGAATATTGAAAAACTCATATGATACAAGGAATCTCATGTGTAATCACGTTAGCACCGTATTGAGGCGGTGATCTGATTCGAAACTAAACTAGAATGGATAACAAGCTAGTACACAATTATTATGTATAATATGTATAAGTATGAAGTATGAATAGTTAAAACAAAAATGTACTGTTAAAAAATACGTTGACTTACATTATTTCAAAATTAACGGTAGAAATGCAGTTTCATTGTGAATTTACCCAATAACATTGGAATGGCTGAGAAGTTCCAACACTGTCAAATTTGCGTCGGTTTCAAAATGTACAGACACATTTCTGAAATGTATTCCTTTTTATTGAACAAAAATTCTAAAAACCCAGTTGAATCATAACTACAATGTTGAAGACTTAATTTCCGATGATAAATTTATTTTCCCATCGACTGGAATGCTTTGATAGCCTTGACGGACCGCAGCAATTTGTTCCGGGCACTGGACAGCTTCTCCACAACAATCTTGTTCTCTGGGTTGATCTCCAGCTTGCTGGGGTCAGCCACGATCCTGGCCTTGATGAAGCCCTTCATGATGGCATCATGTACACCTACGTGGACACCAGTCACATTGTTCACGTACTCTCCGGTGTCCTTGTCCAGGAGACCGTCACGCACAGCGTCAGAGAAGGAGACCTGGGGGGACAGGAGAAGTGAGAGAATGTGAAAATGTGGTATAGGAGGAAATCAAGGAAGGGGGGGAGGGCTTGGAGGAAGGGGGGGAGTAGTGGTA